GATCAAGAATCATTTCTTCTTATTACCACTGTTGAAAACCATAGCTTAAAGGGATACTGAAGTGGACAAGACCATTAGCATTTCAAAAAAAAAAAAAAATGACCAAAGAGTTTCGATATTTTTCCTATTTAAAACTTGACTCTTCTGTAGTTACATCGTGCACTAAGACCGACGGAAAATGTAAAGTTGCGATTTTCTAGGCTGATATGGCTAGGAACTATACTCTCATTCCTGCGTAACAATCAAGAAACTTCACTGCCGTACCATGAGAGCAGCAGGCGTAATGATATGACGCAGCGCCTGAAAATAGTTCCGTTGTGTTGACGGAAGGTGGCCTATTTTCAGGCGCTGCGTCATATCATTACGCCTGCTGCACTCATGGTACGGCAGTGAAGTTTCTTGATTATTACGCAGGAATGAGAGTATAGTTCCTAGCCATATCAGCCTAGAAAATCGCAACTTTACATTTTCCGTCGGTCTTAGTGCACGATGTAACTACAGAAGAGTCAAGTTTTAAATAGGAAAAATATCGAAACTCTTTGGTCATTTTTTTTTTTAGAAATGCTAATGGTCTTGTCCACTCCAATGATGTATGCTAAGCTATGCTAAAAGTGGTACCGCCAGAACCGGAGATCGGCTGAATGGATTCAAAAACGGTAAAAACTCAACAGTTTAACTCTGGGGGAGTTGTAAAATGAGCCTATTTCCAAAAACAGTGGAGTATCCCTTTAATACAAAAAAAGGTGAAACTTTAAGGATTCTTTTATGAATAGAAAATTCAAAAGAACATCATTTATTTGTTATTGCTTTGCAATATTATGAGTCTTTGATCATTTTTGATTTGCCATTGTTAAACAGAAGTAAAAAAAAAAAATCCAACTACTGACAAACTTTATTCACTCACTCATCCATCAATCCATTTGCTCACTTTTTCACCTATCCATCCAACAATCTATCGACTGACTCAATTATCCGTTCATCCCATCAAGTCCACCCATTCACTCACTCACACATCAGTTCATCCATTAATCCACCAATTCATGCATCCATGCAACAAAATCCATGATTTTGGGAGGGGCGCAAAAGTTTTGTGAGAGAATGCAATGGTTTTGTGTGAGTGAACACAAAGTTTCATGAGGGGAGCGCAAAACTTTTGTAAAAGAACGCAAAAGCATTGAAATGTATATATTTTTTCTCCCATCTCATACTTTCTTCCATCACCATGTTAGGTTAGGGGGTTGCGTACGGTTATGTTAGAAATAACTAGAAAAATGCATTAACAGATTGGACCAACACATATTAAAGACAGGACAAAGGTCACGTCCCTTATGCATTACGCGAGGCTTTTAAAGAAAAAGTTTGTGTGTGCATGTTTACCTGTATACAATTAAAAACTCTCAAAATGCTGGTGATTACTGTAATTGCACTGGTTAATATGGCTGGAGAGGTCAAAGGTCATTGTTCAGTCACTGGAACGGAAGCAGTTGCTGGGCAGTGATTGCCATCATTAGGGTGGAAATGTAGCCTCCAGTTCCAGGAACTCATTCTGACCGAAAAGGGTGGGGGGTGAAAAAACCCTGAAATGTTTCAACTGGAGAATAACTCCAATGTGGGTTACCAAGACTATCCATCTGGACTGCCATGAGATCATGTGAGCTGAGTCTCCCTCCAGCTCCATGACCATCAGTAATTACAGCTTAAGTCATTCAAGACAAAGACACTAGATTTTATCTTAAGCCCATTAAACTGTACAGCACAAGTGTGGGGTACTTTGTAGGGAAAAAAGACGACTTGAGAGCGTGAATAATGAAAGCATATGTAAGATCAGAACGGCTGTGCAAACACACAGACTCATTGGTATTCAATGAAATAAAAGCAAACCTCTAATGGCCAGCACAAATCTCATGGATAAGAATTTTGTTTTATCCCTCCGCCTTAAACGGACTCAAACCTCATGTTGTTCCAAACGTGTATGATCCAATATATGGATTATAGAAACATATCCTGGTCACTTTTTTTCAATATAATGAACATGAACTGGGACTGTAATGCTCCAAAATATAAAAAACATGTACACTACAGTAGCCTATATTCTAAAATAGCTTTGTGTGAAGAACCGACTGAAATCCATGAGTAAATTGGTCAATTGTGCACATTTTCAGGGGTCAAAAACCAAATGTGGGTCACTTTGAATACAGCGGATACTTTTTTTCTTTTAAAGAGGAATATCTAAAGAACAAATAATGTTAAAACTATATCTCATTAGCTCATTTGCATATAATATACCTGTCTGAGTGCCATAAATATTCTTTTTCCAAAGTTGTCATGCCTGTAACTCTAAAAGTGTTCAAGATATCTTAATATCCTTCTAGGTTCTTTCCTTTTGAAATCTTCATTTTAAAGAGTCATTTTAAAAGAAAAATATCAGCTGTGTACAAAATGACCCACATTTGTTTTTTACCCACTGAAAATGTTTAAAATTTACTAATTTACTCAGAACTGCATTAAGATCTCCAAATCTCTGGGATTGAACCATCGAGGGCCTTTAAAATTAATTTTTAAGAACCAGAATCTAAAAGGATATTAAGATCTCTTTAATACTTCTTGAGTTACAGGCACATGTCTTCTTTTGTATTCCATAGAAGAAAGTAAGTCATACAGATTGGAATGACAGAGTAAATGAAGACAAAATACTATTTTTTTGAGGGAACTATCCCTTTAATGTTTCATTTATGAATCAGACTGATCCAGTTCTCACTGACTCAATGATTCACAATGTTTAACAGTCTTTTTTCAATGAATAAATTAATTTCGCACAGACCACTATCGTATCAATGAAGACGACTAAAATTATATAGCAATATAGCTCAAATCATACGAACAACTTTTATGATGCTTTTGCGTTCTTTTTGAATCTTGAAAGCTCAGGTTCCCTATTTTTGTAACATCAAAGAAAAGAGTAATCAGTACATTATTCAAAATTTGGAAAAACATTAGGGTGACAATGATGAAAAAAAATATGTTTTTGGGTGAACTATTCCAATAAATTTGTCTGCTATGTTTAGTGGATTAACTCAAGCTATCTTAGAGATTGTATATTCAGCAGGCAGGTGAAACGCATCCAGTGTTTTATGGCTAAAGTCAAATATTACATGAAGATTATTGTGTGAGGAAAATGAACAGTGAGTGTAGCAGAGGGCTGGACGAACAATACAGGACACGGCAAGAGAAGGAAATCACACTTTCCGTGCTGTCCTGCTTCGAGGAGAGTGTGGCTGAAAACAAGCCATTGTGTTTGGACGGAGCTTCCGCAGGCAAGCTGGACTGGACACGCTCGGTGAAACAACTCGGAAATGATAAAAGCAGGAAAAACAATGCGTGGATGGAAAAGCCACTGGCGGTGGACCAAGCTCATGGAGGGAGATGGAACAGCCGGGGAGGTTAAAGATAGGATACAAACAAACAAGAATTTGAACTCAGTTCACAGAGTAATTCCTATTTCTGATCTTTTACCACGTTTCAATCGAGCAGGAAACAGGAGGGCAGGAAACAATAAGAGAGAGAGAGAGAGAGAGAGAGAGAGAGAGAGAGAGAGAGAGAGAGAGAGAGAGAGAGAGAGAGAGAGAGAGAGAGAGAGAGAGAGAGAGAGAGAGAGAGAAAAGGGGGCAAAAAGTGTGTGTGTGTGTGGGGGGGGTGCAGATATATATATATATATATATATATATATATATATATTTAAAAATTAAGTACAAAAATTAAAAATGAAACATGTGTACATAAATACATATATAGCTGCCTTCATTTATATTTAACCTCTCGTTTAATATTTCTACCAGCCTTTATTCATTATAAGAGAGAACAGAAAATTGCAACTGCTTTCAGCTTACAGTCTTATTGTTTGAATATAGTGTTGCTGAGCTGCCACTGACAGCATCCGCTGAAAACAACATGACGCTCTCAGAGGATGCGATTAGCATTTCTGAAACATTAACGGGGCAATAACAGTCCTTCAGCTGAACTACTTCTCCACAGAGAAAGAAAAAGGCAACTCAAGGAGGAAAAGAATATAATTAGTGCACCCTTGTGGCAGTTAACAGAAGTGCGATGTCTATGATTAGGAATAAAGAGTACAAAAACATTACAACTGCTGAAATATGGTCCCTAAACAAATATATAAATTATATATATATATATATATATATATATATAGTTTATTTATATATATATATATATTAAAAAAATATATAAAATAAATAAACTACCATTCTGAAATTGGGACAACTAAAATTAGAGACAGAAAACAGATAGCAAGGATGCATTAAATTAATCAAATGTGACAGTAAAGACATTAATAATGCTACAAAAGATTTTTTATTTCAAATAAACGCTGTTCTATTTAACTTCATGTTCATCAAAGAATCCTGAAAAAATGTATCATTGTTTCCACAAAAATATTACAACAGTGATAATAATAAGAAATTTTTCTTGAGCATCAATTCATCATATTAGAATGATTTCTGAAGGATCACGTGACACTGAAGACTGAGTAAATCACAGGAATAATTACATTAAAAGGAGATGACACTTATTTTAAATAGTAATAATTTCACAATATTTTACTGTATTTTTGATCAAATAAATGCAGCCTTGATGAGCATAAGACACTTCTTTAAAGAAGTCTTAATGACACCAAACTTTTAAATAGTAACTGTGTGCAAACCACTTTTGATGTAATTTTAAATTTTCAAGAATTAAATCACACTAAATGAACATGTAAATTCATAACCCTAAAATAACAGATCGTTGCAACTTCGTTACATCGTCACACACACTCTCCCCGGTGTGTAAGGTGAATGCATTTGTACTCTCAGCGGGAGTTCTGGCATTCAGATGGAGTGTTTGAGATGGGAAACAGGAGGTGGTTCTCGCTGACACGCATACAGTATACAAACTGCAACACATATAAGAGTGCACACACTTACAAACACAAGAAATGTTACCTGGCAGTCTCTTGAGCGGCTGTAGACGCATGTTGATGGCCTGGTGGGACAGCAGAGGAGAGGAGGGGAGAGAGCGCGATACACCCTCCATGATCCGAATGTGCTGCATGCCCTCGGTCACTGGGAGAGGAGGAACAGCGTAATCCCCCTCGAACACACACTCGCCCTCCACAGAGTCACTGCCTGGAGAGTGAGACAGAGATCACAAATCAATTCCACAATGAATTACACATTCTTTATGTTAGCAAGATACGCTCAAGCGACCAATCAAATGAGCCTATACCACGTAAAGACTCATTTGCATGTCAGAGGCACAAACACATGCAGTTAGTCAGTTCCGCTTATTAACACTCCGCTATCAGTGTTCATGAAGAGATGACACCTCCAGATTTAGAAGCCGAAAGAAGGAGAGAGGGAGAGATTGAACATGTTGTCAAACGCCTGCAGACATATTGTGCCATACACACAAACACTGATACACCTTAACAATTTATTAGACCAAACTGAACTCCGCCATGACAGTTGCTGAGCTGAAAGAGATAATCAACCATAAAAAAACATTTTTGCTAATACTAGTACAGTATGCAGGTTTGCCTGTTGTTGAGAACAACAAAGCACAATGTGAAATCAGAACTCATGTTCAGACTCAAACATGGCAGGAGTGAAACGGACATAAAAATGATGACTATAACTATAGAAATTCAGATGCTTGGGGATGTTAATGTGTGTTTTGCTCATTTTTACTCTTGTTGCTGTGTTCAGGGAAGGAAATAGACTGTAAACTCAATCAAAAGATCAACTGAAAACTGACGATGCAGATAAGCGATAACATTTATGACTCATGAAGGTTCCAGAATGACAGATTGATGACTGAACAAGTTGACTGAAGTCAGCAAAATTATTCAAAGGACTTGCAATTTGATTGGGCCGATTTACAAGAAATGGATAAAGAGCAGAAAGCCATTGCTTTTTGAGCACTGATATTGTGTTTTTGATGCAGACCTAGGTTCAGTAAGCCATTTTGTTTGATTAGGCTGCATTTAATTGATCAAAATACAGTAAAAACAGTAATCTCGTGAAATATCATTACAATTTAAAATTACATTTGAAAATATATTAAAATGGAAAACAGTTATTTATTTCTGTGATGCAAAGCTGAATTCTCAGCATCATTACTCCAGTCTTCAATGTTGATGATTTGATGCTCAAGAAACATTTCTGATTATTATCAATGTTGAAAACAGTTGTGCTGCTTAATTGTTTTGTGGAAACCGTGATGCATTGTTTTCAGGATTCTTTGATGAATAGAAAGTTCAAAAGAATGAAATATAAATATTTTATAACTTTATACAGTAAATGTCTTGACTCTCTCCTTGCTGAATGAAAGTATTCATTTGTTTTCAATATATATATATATATATTTTTTTTTTCTAAATAAGGAACATTTAATCACTTGCATGCGACACTTCAGACCGGTGTGAAAAAAACTAGGACTCTCACTTTAGTACACTTCCCGTATTTACTAGTCAGTAAAACTACCGTGTTTGTGTGTGTGTGTGTGTGTGTGTGTTTGTACTGCTGTGGTTGGGTGGGGTCTGGACTGCTGATGTCAAGCATTCTCTTTTCCTCCTCTCTCTCTTTCCCTCTCTCCCTCTCTCCATTCCACTACAGTTTTTTCATCCCATTTTCTTCTCCATCCATCAGCCCCACCCAACATCCTCATCATGCACTCTCATGCATTTCATATCTGACCACGGCTCACCTCTTTCTCTCATTTCCCCTCTCACAGCGGTTCAGCTTCTTTAGCGTAGCGCTTGAATCTCTTGAATAAATAAAACACAAAAGGTATGGATTTTGAGCTCCCTGGACATCATTTGGCCATCGCACCCAAATTCAAACGTCCAAATACAACTGTGATGTCCAATAATGCTGCCTAGGAAGGTATATTACTAGATTTCCATCTAAAACATCAGAGCCACACCCTAAGAATCCATCTCTTCATTCGTTTTTGAGGTTCAAGACTCATTTGAGACACTCTAAACACTCACTTTCGCTCTCGCCTCAGTAGAAGAGGATAAAACCTCCTTTAGGGACATGACGAGCTGTCAGATGTGGAATTGTTCATTGTGTCTTCCTGAATTCGACGCTACTGCAGTGCAGGACGTGGACTGAAGTGGAATGCTCTCACAGAAGCAGACGGCGAGAGAGCCGAGCCGAACCCCCGGGCGTTAATCATCAGACACTATCCGCTTCAATGCCGCAGAATCAGCTATAGCATTGGTGAATGAAAGCTAGTGACTACAATGAACAAATCAGACTCAAAATTAAGACCAAAAATGCAATGTCCTTTGATTCTGTATGAGATTCTTTGAAGGATTTTATGTTCTGAATTCGCAGTGTGTGTCCACTGCAGCTAGGCTGCGTCATAGGATGGCGTCAGACAGGAAGAGGCCATGTTGCGCCCAGTCTGGCCACAGCGACAGATGGCACAGACAGGAAGAGAGGAGAGGAAAGGAAAGACTGATGAATGAAGCACCCACCTGCTAATTACCACAAATACAGACAACACATACACACTCTTCATGCGTCACTTTAATTGCGCTTTCTTCCAGTTCACTAATACACTATTCCAACAGGTTGCCAATACTGGTGCCACATAAGGTGCCTGATGTCAGAAATGGTTAGAATGGCACAAAAAACTAGATTGCTACCATTAAAGTGCCCCTATTATTGTTTTTCAAATAGTGCCTTTCATGCAGTGTGTAACATAGCTGTTTGTGAATGTAAACGTTCTGCAAAAGTTGTAAAGCCGAAAGTGCACAAAAAAATTGAATTATTGTCTCCCAAAAGAAAGAATCGATACTGAACCGCCTATACGAGTGGTTTTTCATTCGAATCCTACTGCTTTACAGTTCTACGTCACTAGAAAATACATTTGCATAATGCCCGCCTATGCTGTACGTTTGTCTGCTTGCGAACAACTTGACCAGCCCACAACACGTAATTTTACTGACGACTGCTTCTCAAATCACGCGGGATTCGCAAAACGATTGCTCTTGAAATATGGGTCAGTACCCAGTTTATTTGGACCAGCTTGCTCCTCAGAATCACAACCTGTAAGTATGAATAATTATTGATGAATACATTTTCTACCGGGTGTTCAAAATACTTTTGTTTTGTGTTTAATATTGTGTACATTTCCGGCTAACCCGCGTTATTACTAGGGCTGGGCAAAAAAAATAGATTTTTCGATTAATCGTTTTTTTTAAATGTGGTCGATTCAAAATCGATTCTCAACGGCCACGAATCGATTTTTTCCATATTCAGGGCTCGCGTGCTGCGTCTTCTCACTCTGCACAAGGCAAGCGTCAAGCGCTGCAGGCGTCGATACACACTCGTGTTTAGGAGTCGGGACATGATTCACTTGCACAATCGGGCCAGCATTGCATCGTAACTAACGTTTATCATTTTCACGCCTTTTTTCAAGCAATTTTAAACTATCCTGTGCTTGCGCACTCGTGCATGTTTTTCATTGCGTGCAGCCTAAATCCGCCTCACAACAAACAGCTCGCCAGTAACAAAAGTTCTTTTTCGTGGATTATATCGCTTTAACAGTTAAAAACACGCAAAATGATGTCAAAACTCTGGTCTTGGTGAGTAACCTCGTAAAGAATCGAATCGAATCAGGAATCGAAATTCGAATCGAGAATCGAAATTGAATCGAGAATCGAAATCGAATCGAACTGTGAGCTTGTAAATCGAAATCGAATCGAATTTGAACATCTGAATCGATACCCAGCCCTAGTTATTACTGTCTTACTGAAATACTACTGCTTCTTACCAATTAGTTCTTCCAATGTATCATTATCATCATTGGACTCGAGCTCGGATTGATATGGTAAAGGACAAAAGAAGCCTGCTGAGAAGGTGCTGCTGACGTTCAGATATGGTAATGGCAGTGTAGCTTCCGACAGGCGCTGTATAAGGTAGACCAATCATAACAGGCCAGTCAGGCCAACCACATCTGGCCAATCAGAGCAGAGCAGGCTCTCGGAGAGGAGGGATATAGAGAAACTGATTCACCCATCGAGTCGTTTGAGAATCGTTGAAAAATGTGGTGACGTGCAATGTATATTATGAGAAAATGAAACAGTTTTTTTTTTTTTACTTTAGATGCACGTAAACCTGTTGTAGGAGACCTCCAAAACTAAATGATGAGCCTTTAAAATAGCATAATAGGGGCACTTTAAAATCTACAACATCAGTCTACATTAAAAGTGCATGTTGTGCAATGCTGCAATGCAATGTGCCACACATACAGTTGACATCCCACTTCAATTTCTGCTGCACTGCAAAAAAGAAAAAGAAAAGATCATTTTAAATAAAAATAACTTTTTAATTGTAAAATACTTTCTATATTTTTATTTATAATTTACTTGTAAAATTATTTTATTTAAATCATTTTAAAAATAATAAATATTAAAATGATTATTTATTTATTTAGTTAATTCATAATATAACATTTTAAATGTAATTTTTATGTTTACACGCGCACACACATTATATATATATGAAAATATTTTATTTTATATAAATAAAAATTATTTGAAAAAAGATTTTTAAGTAAGTTACTTTATTGTTCAGTTTTCAATTCAGTGGAAGTGTGGGCACACACAGCACAACAAGCAGCATTTAGATTTCGGATATTTCATATAAACTTACTCTTTATGAATAACAAATACAGCAATTTTTTAAATGGCTGATTAAAGTGTGGTCAAATTAAATTAGGCCATGTAACTGTTAAGTGTTGCTAGTTTATGATTCATTAGAAGTGTAATCACATCAGCAGGCACCTGCTCTTATGAGTACCTCAGGGGTTCGTCTCACATCTCTCATGTTATATCACTCTTGTCACATGACGTACAATGCAAATACAGCAGCGGGATTGAGGGCTGCCAGAGGGGTGGATGCAGTGTCACCATGACGATACTCTGAGGAGTACTGTGCCTTCGATAAGGAAAAGCGGCACAAGCGGAGGACACATCTGAAAAGCCGATTTACGATGCCACCCGCTCCCTCGAGGAGATGAAAGAATGCTTAGTGGGAGCGAGGTGAAGAGGAGGAACAGGCTTAAAGGTGAGAGAGAGAGAGAGAGAGAGAGAGAGAGAGAGAGAGAGAGAGAG